TCATGAGCCCACGAATTCTCACAACCAACTCGAGAGGAAGGTATTATCATCCCTCTTTTCGGATGAGAAAACTGAGTCTCAAAGAAATTAACTAGCTCAAGGTGATCAGCTCGTAAGCAAGAGAATCAGAATTGGAACCTGGGTTCGACTGACTCCAAAGCCTGGGCTCTGGGAGGTAACAGACCAACGGTTCAAAACTGGTCCAAGACAGAAGAGCTCACGGCTGGGTTGTCCCAGAGGCTCCTAGGACACTCTCTGGACCCTAGGAGCCTGGGGAGAGGGCACAGAGAGCGGAGGTCCTGAGAGAAGACTTTCTAAAGGAGTGGCAGCAGGGGCTGGGCCCCAAAGGGTGGGGAGAATCATACGTGTTTAATAAGCTGTACTCGAGCACTTTCTCCAACCACTAAGTCCAGGGTTGGAAAGGATTGTGGAATCTGTGCCTCACTCGGGGCCAATAAATGACTAGTCAAATGTCGGAGGAGGACGTGTAGACACACACACACAGGCACACACACGCTGACCCACCTCGGCAGCTCCAAACAGTGCCTGGAACGGGCACAAGAAAAGAGGACCTCAGAGGGCAGCGAGATGTTTGCACCGGGCGCCAGCAGGGATTAGGGCAAGGGCCAAACCGAGAGGAGATGTGGAGCCAGCAAGTCCTGTGACCACCCTGGAACTGGGAGGTTGGCAGCTCCTGGAATGTCTCAATTTAGACCTTGTCCCAGAACATGAGAAATGCCAAGGGTGGAGGAGAGGGGCCAGGAGAGGATGAAGAGTGGGGACTGACTGAGAGCTGGGCTCTTTCTCCTTTTAATCAGCCATGTCCCCACCTCTGAGCTCTCCCTCCTTGACCCTCAAAATACACATGAGCAAGGTGTTCAGACCCCACAGCTCCACGGGAAGAAATGCACATCACAATCCCATACAGATTCACCCAGGAGTCTCTCCTGGGTCCTGGCTCTTTCCACACTGATGTCTCTACCAGGCAGAAATTCAGGACCCCCAGGCCAAGCCTGGGTCTGGTCAAAGGCGGACAAATGAGAGCCAGCCAGGATCTGGCCAGCCAGGCCCGCACAAGCCCGTCCCCTGAATGGGGTCTGTGCGCCAGCCCCGGAGGAAGCCTGTGTGGGCAAGCTGTTCTTCCCTAGAGCTGGGTTAAGAACATGAACCCTGCCCCTGAGATCATCCAAGCCCATCTTCCATGGCTCCAGGACTTGACACACTGTCCCACCATCCATGACACACATGACGTCACCAACAGGCTGTGTTTCTGAATTAGATTCCGGAATGAGCTGTTGGCCCATAGGAGCGGGCCAACTCTTACCCCAGTGGCCAAGCCTCTTAATCTCCTGGAGAACAGGCTTGGAGCCAGTAGTCAGGCACTGGCCAAGATTTGATAAGCCAAACCCTAAACAGGCGGCAAGGCCCAGGCCCAGCTCCATCTACCAGTCAGCACAGTTCCCCTGGAAACCTACCTCTCACTGAGATGCCCAGCTCTCCACACTGAACTGGGACCAACCCTCTGTGAGCAGGGGTCCCCACAGGTGTGAGCTGAGGACGCCAGCCCTGTTCTGAAGCTACCCGCTCCCTCCTCCTTCCCTCCCTTCCCCTGGCTTCTCTTCCAGTCTTCCACAGAGTCTCTGGCTGTTCCCGTCTTCAACTAACTGGTCAGGGAGGCAAAAAGCCCATTTATTATTTTAATTTGCCACCAGCTACTGAGGTTTCTCTGGAGAGAAACCCCACAGCACGTCTAGGATGTCTGTGGGAAAAGATGTGCTGGAAAGCCCGGCTCTCCACACTGTAACAGATCAGGAAGGAGGCAAGAGAGAACAGGAAGCACAGAAGGAGACCCAGTCGAGAGCCTGGATTTCCCAAGACTTGAATCCCAGCAGAAACAGAAAACCAAGTCCGTGACCTTCATATAAAGTGTGGTGATTTATTATTCTGAGAAGACAGTGGTGTCAGGAGGGAGATGCGGAGACTTTCCAACTGCAGATATCTTAAGTGAGCATTCCTCCTAGGGCACATGCCAATGCTCCAGCCTCAGTAATGCCTGCAGGGTCGGACCAGCTCCTGAGCCTCACAGATGGGGTGCTCACCTCAGAGCAGCAGGGAAAATGAGCCATGGCCTCAGACCTTGGCTCAGCCGGTTCTCCAGCCTGCACAAGCCCCCCTGCGCTTTTCTTGAGGCTAACTGGTTGAGAGACTCTGCTTCAGAGGGGAGACCAGCACCAGCTGAGGTCTTCAATGCGACAGACTGGAGGGATGATCCAAGGGTACCCTTCCTGATTATCTGCATTTCGCTGAGCATGCCCAGCTAACTAACCAGCTTTCTCGCTCCATCCGTCTCTCCCTCCCCCCTCTATCTTCCCTCTCCCTTTCCCTCTCTCCCCGCCCCCATCTCTCTCTCATTCTGCACATCTCTTGCACGTGGGTCTCCTGCTGGCAGCTGGCTCTTTCCCACTCTCTTCCCCCCTCTCTTCCCCCCTTTCCCCTCCCTCAAGCCCCACATACTCTGAAGCCAGCAGGGGGTGAGCTGCTCAGAGCCGAATGGAACAGGAAACTGCACTTTTCACTCTGAACATGTTGCAGGAGAACAGCCTCTGCTGAAAGCCAGCCTCGCTGGGCTCAGCTGTTGAACAGCAGCTTCAGGGACGCGCTCTGGCTGCGGCTGTGAACCATGCTTTCCTTTTAATCCCCGCTCCCACGTGTCCCTACATTTGTCTGAGTCACCATCCGCTCAACACTGTCACCTCCAGCCCATCAAAGCCTTTCGGCTCCCTTTCTCTTGGGCATATGCAGCCTAAATGGGGCGAGTGCCAGAGGGTGAAGAGGGCACCTCAGAGGAACTCCCAGGGACCACCTCAATACAAAAGACTGTAGATACGCCCGGAGAAGTGAAGTTCAAGGATACTGTCCATAGGCACAGTGACATCCCCACACACCCCTTCCAGGCTGGTCTGGGGGCGCTGAGCGAGCCCTATGGAACACGGGATGATGGACTTCCTAGGACAGGGTTCAAACAAGTACACATGAACCTCACCTCAGATGGCAAGAGCCCACTCAAGGCCTAGAGGAAGCCGTACCCGCAACACACATTTTCCAACACTGAGCATTTAAGTTTGTCTACAGAGTAGGGTTGTCAGATAAAATATAGGATACTCAGTTAAAACTGAATTTCACATAAACAACAAATAATTTTCTAGAATAGGCATTCCTAAATATTGCATGAGACATATTTATATTAAAAAATAATATGTTCACTGTGTATCTGAAATTCAAATTTAACTGGGCGCCTGTGTTTTTATCTGCTCAATCCAGCAACCCTACTGCAGAGCTACCTGGCTCCACAGCCATGCTAAAAATGGTAAGAGTGCCACAGGGTGAAAGGGACAAGAAATCCCAGTCAGCTCACCTCTTTCTTGGCCCCCAGGGTCCTTCTCCACTCCTCATCTCCACCCTGGCTCAACCTAGCTCTCATCTTGGCTTCTCTTGCCTCCATCCCACCTGATCCTTCCATTGTTCCCAGCTCCCGTGGCCCAGGCGTAGGACCAGTGCTTTCACCCCTTAATTCAGCTGAACTGAGGTCGAATTTTTCAAAAGGAACTTTATAGAAATATTTGAATTCATTAAAATAATACAGTCGTTGTCACATGTAAGGAGATCCAATATCAAACAAAGCCCTGAGACTAGATAAGTCTAGACATGGTCTGGTCGTTCTTTTCCATCAGTGGTTCTTGGATTCGTTGACTTGTAGCAAGGCTGCCCCCTCGATGAAGCTGGACCAACATTCTGGAACAGAGACTCTCACTGGCTATCTATTAAAATATATAGGAAGCTTTTTGCAGCTTATTCCAGACCAATTAAATCAGAATTTCTGAGAGTAGGGCTCAGGTATCTGCATATGTAAAGCTCCCCAGGTGACTCTAATATGTAGCCAGGGTTGCAAACTCATATACATTGGAATCACCTGAAAAGCCATAAAAACTACCAATGATTGCATCCCACGCTCAAAAATTCTGATTTAATGGGCAGGAGGTGTGGCCTGGGCATTGGGATTTTTAAACACTCCCTAGGAGATTTTAACGTGCAGCTGGAGAACCACAGCTCCTCGTACTTCAATAGGCTTCAGATCTTCCAGGAACCTTGCGAAAAGGCAGGTGCTGACTCAGTAGGTCTGTTGTTGGGGCCTGGGATGCTGCATGTCTTACAAGTCTCAGGGGATACCAGGGATGTTGGTCCTCAGGCCACACTTTGATTAGCAAGGTCCTAGACCAGTAGGCCTCAAACCTAGACGCACACTGCAATCACCTGGGGAGCCTTGACAACTCCTTCAGCCGGGGTCCCACCCCAGAGATTCTGATGTAATTGGCCTGAAGCGGGGCCCGACCATCCAGATTGTAAAAGCCTCCCAGGGGACTCTACGTGCAGCAAAGGTTGAGAACGTTGGCTGGAGACCAGCATCTAGGGGTCATGTTACAAGTGGCCCTGTGACCACTCTCCACAAGCCGCTCTGACTCCCCTCTGTTCCCTGCCTCAGGGAAGACACTTTTTTTCTCTTGCCTCAGAAGGCCATGCCCTCTGGTAAAAATTCCCTTTCGCCCACTTCGGGCTGAATAGAGCCTCTAATTCCCAGCTCAGTTGCAAAAGAGAAATGATTGACCCAACACCCTGAAACCAGGGACTGGTCAGAACCGGCCCAGCCAGGCTTGCTCTGTTACCAATTGTTCCCTTTGCTCAAGTGGCCTTCTCTAAGGATGCCTCTGCTAGAGGAGCTATGGGCCACAGATGAGCGCGCTCCACCCTCACAGTCACACCCAAAGAAGAGAAACTCTGCGCTTTGACAAGGTGCTGAGCAGCTATCGTTACTTGGTAGTTCCCAAGCCAGGTTAACACACGACCTCTCCCCTCTCCTTCCTTCCTCATCCTTTTGAAATGAAATTGTGGCAACTGTGGGATAAGATGTTGCTTACAGAGGAACCAAAAAGGACGACGTGGAATTGAGGAAATTATTACTCTCTTTTTTTGGTGTGATTGCCATGAAATTATTCATGAATCATTTTTTTTCCTAGGGGATGATCCAACATATCATCTGGAATGCATCTTCATTAGTAGTTTTCATCCTCTGACAGAGCCTGTGTCTTTTGTTGGGAGTTGGGTGTTGCTGGTAGAAACGCCCCGTCCACGTCTTGGGTGTACAGCGTTTGTGTAAAGTCTGAACTCTAATGTGTAGAATTTGCAGGTCGCTGAAGTGTCACAGTCTACTGAAATGGGTCTGGAATCAATAAGGTACACATCAAACTCAATTGTGTTTAATTTTCATTGCTACCTAGAGGAAAGCCGAGCATAGCCCTACCCGAATGAAATTAAACATGAAAGCCCATCTGAAGTGTAGAAGCGATACTTAACATGACCTGTAAATAGGCTGAAACACGGCAGCCCGGCCCATCACAACATCATCGTTCATTTTTCTTTCCATAGTGGAGGTGATGGCTGCCATAAGAAAATCAGAATAGACAGGAGCCCATTGCAGATCTAAAGGAGAACAAAGTGTTTTCAGTTACACACCAGCAGGACTTCCCTCTTTGCACACCCCTGGAGTCTCTTCCGAGTGGAAAATCAGAGAAGGAAGGCGAGTAAAACAAGGCCCTTCTGAACTTGGCTGGCCCCCGCCCCCATGCCGCCCCAGCTGAGTTCCCGGGCCAGTGAGATAATGCAAGGCTCAGCCCTTGTAGCTGACATGGGTGGGGGGCAGACGCCCACTCTGGGCACTTCCAGCCGACACTGACCTTTCAGTCGTGGAAACATTCCCCAGACCGACACTAATCGGGGGCACATCTGGCGTTTGGACTGCATCCAGATGGGGGTTGTGTTCCTTGAGTCAGCATGATAACCCGCTGGGGAGGCCCGGGAGGGGAGAGTGCAGGCTGCTGAGAGCAATCAGCATCTTTGGTTCCGGGTCTGAGATGTGGTCATGCTGTGGGCCAGTGAGTCATAGGCTGGAGACTACCTCATCCCGGTCCACCAACCCTCCCTGCCCACACCAATGGAGGAGAGAACTGGAGAGATCCAGAGAGCCCCAGCAGCTACCTCAGGGGTCCACAACTGGCCAGGGGCAGTCTAAAATCCCAGTGTCCCAACTCCCACTATCGTGCACTTCCCAGGTTTCTACACTCTCTCAAAGTGTAGTGTAATACATATTATCTCAAGATAATACGCGGTCTAAGGTGATGAAAAGAACCCAGCTGTTTCTTCTCTGCTAACTTTCTGTGACTTGCAAATGCACAGGACAATTTTCCAAAGCAATGACAAATTCCCTTGGTCTCCATCCCCTGCGCCCATCCTCCCACCCCAATTCTTCCACTGGAGCTTCTTTTTTTTTCGATTCAGAAGGAGAAACTGCCCTTCCAGTCTTTTATCAGAACTGAACACGATACCTTATCTCTCATCCCCAGGACAAGAGACTGCAATTGGGAACAAGACCTCATGGTACCGAAGACCCAACCATACAGGTCAGGAATGAGCAAGGATCTTGGCCAGCTCTTGGCACCTGCGTCACGAAGCCTGACACCTGTTGCAGCCATGCGCAGTACTGCTAAAGAGGTAATTAAGCAAACCAAAGCCAGGATAAAAGGGATTATTTCCCCTCTCACCCACACAGAAGGCTGTGTCCGGCTGTCAGAAGGAAGTTCTTTCCCTGGCCCCTGAGGTACACTCCCCACTCCTGGGCACCGTGTTTCCAGTCTCCTCCAGTGATCCTTTCCTGTCTACACCTCCAGGCACAGATAATTACGGAAATCAGGAATCTCATCCACCTATTCAAATCACGAAGAGATTAACAGGATCTTCTAGTATGAAAACTGCGGAGATCTGTTCATCCTTCTCCCTTTATTTGTTAAAAGTACTAAAAGAAACAGGGAAATAACCCAGGTGAAAATTAGACCCATATGGGTGATCAGCTTCCCCCAAGTAAGTTTCAGCTCCTCCGGTAACTAACCAGCTTGCAGAGCTCACCAGCACTATTCTCTTCCTACTACACCAGCCTTCATACAAAGTGCCACTATCACCCACCACACAGTCAACTGGGTCCTCTTCTGGGATAATCAGAAAGGAAAAATATCTTCACTCCAACTGAAGATATTTCATTCCTACCCACCTGAAGTTCACTCTCCCACCCCCAGACCCTCACTCCTGTTGTCCCATCTGAGCAACAGGCTTTGTCCACCCTGATGGACAGGACAGTAGCCACTGAGACAAATGAATGATACTCCTAGCCCCCTTTAGGGGACAGCTTATGAGTTTCATCCTCCTCAGGAGGATTTTGTAACAAGCTGTCCAGGTCTCTGAGAAGGAGCTCACAGTCACTACCACTCCACCTAAGCCAGCTGAGGTCCCTGCTGGTACCAGCCCTGTCCCCCCCCCCCCCCCCACAGTGATTTGGTACAAAGCCACTTCGTGTTCCATGCCAAACCGATAATTCACAACACTCATCAAAATCTGCCTCCATCAGCTGACTCAGCATCCCTGTTTTCCTGAGCAGCGTCAAGCTCCCTACACCCTGACACCCTAGCCTTCAGCTCCACTGTTTACATCGCATGAGAGCTGTGGGCTTAGAAAGCCCGATTCCCTTTGGATCAAGTATGGGGATGATTCATCCTCTCTGAAAAGACCACCACCCCTTGATATCCATGCCAAAAAGATTCTGAGATGGGGTTCAGAGAGGACAGAGCTGGGGAGTCCTGTTGCCATGGAAACCAGTGTGCCAGTTTCCAAAGGAGACAGACTAGTTTTGCGGGGCAGCACTGCTTTGCCAGGGTTCCTGTAGAAACGAAGGAGGCCTCTGGCCTGGAGCGGCTGTGGATACGGCCTGGGATCACCGTGGAGCCTCGGGCCACACGGATGCTTCCCTGTCCCCTATATCTAACCTCTTCTCACACTGAGAGATCCGACCCACCACAGACATCCCATCCGGCCTCCTGGGCGGTTTCTTCAGCACAGCTCCCCAGCCACGTGAAAGGTTCATTCTACGTCTACAGACAAAAAGGGTTTTGACTGACTTCTGTGTTTTAGGAAGTGCGTTAAATTCCATTAAGTTTCAGGTGGGGGGGTGAGCAGGTTGACAACTAACAAGTTGTCTGAACTTTTTACATTTCTCCTCAGTGCCTCAGTAAGGTTCACGACAAGGTCATCAATGATAAGGAGGGAGACCTCCCAGCCAGACTGTCCCTCAGCCCCAAGAGGACACCTCACAGTGATAAGCTGACAGGACTTGGAGTCTGATTCACACACTGGAAGGAGTGTGGGGCGAGGGTTGCATGGAGGGGAGTCGAGGTCCCAGAGACAGAATGTCCAGGAGAGAGACAGATGTAAGGGTCAACAGATGCTCAACCTTCAAGGGAGGGGTGGGGAAAGAGACAGTCCCCATCAAGTAAGACATATAACAGAGATGGTAAGTTCCAAAAACGGAGGCTTCAACTGTTGGAAAGTCCTGGGGGCCAAGATAATAAAACTGATAATAGACTTTGAGTGCTTCCTTATGCCAGGCACTCTATGCTATGTAGTCTCCTACATGTGTTACTGTATGTAATCCTCATAACAACCCTGTGAGAATAGAAACCATCACATGCCCATTTTACAGATGAGAAAACTAAGACTTTGAGAGGCGAGCAAGGTCACATAGCTAGTAAGTGAAGGAACTGGGATTCAAACCAAGGCGCATCTGACCAGAATGCATACTCTTGACCATGAGAGCAACAGATCCTAGAAATGGTGACCACGTCCATTAACCAATTAGAAACTAGTATGTGAGTGATGTTGGGAGAAGTTTTAAGATCCCAGAAGATAGTTGGCTTCATCCTGACTAGGATATTAGTCATTCACTCCATGCAGCACCATTTTCAGGAAAAGCATATTCTGACGCTTATCATAAGTGTTTGTATCCTATGGTCAGATAGCCCCCTGCCTTCCCAGTGCTCCTTCCGACAAAAAATACAACAGAGCATGATTGGCTGAGCTAAGACTCCTGAACAGAAGCCCTTGATGTCCCATCTGTTAATGGGATACCAATCCATGATTTCTCCACCTTCTAGGAGTCCTGGGGGAGGCGGTAGGCCCTTGAGACACAGGATACAAAACCAAAGCAGGATGAAGAGGCTTCACCCATCTCACTCTTGCCCAGGAATTTCCTCTATCTTCCCACACACTGCTGTCCCCAAATCACCCACCAGAATTAGGCCGAAAAGCCTTAGGAATCAGTCAAGAGACAAGATGGGGACAGGGGTCAGATTTTCTCTTTCAGTTGATTGTTTTCTGATTCCTTTAGGTCTGGTCTAGTTAAGCCGAATCCATCACTCTCAGTGGGTGGTGGGTGGGGACAGGTACAGACACAGGTAGGAGTTTACCTAGAATGTTTAAACCCTTGGCACAAAAAGAAAGGCATGAGAAGCTAACCTGAAGAGGGAGATACAGTTGCACAAAGTTAGGGGATCTAAAGAGCCCCCTAGGTACCAGAAGGACCAACATTGTAAGAATTTTAAGAGGTGATAAAGGAGGCAGATACAGCTAAAAAACAGGTGAAATTAATTCCTTTCTCAAGCCGCCATAAAGGTGAATGGCTACCAGATGGTCAGACAGAAATACCTGTCCACAGGCTGTTGGAGAAAAAAAAATAAATGCAAGAAGAAATCGGATCCTCCACTGAGCAGGTGAGCAGGAAATTAAAATATCTGTACACTGACCACAATGCAGGACCACACATGTTCATGAAGAGGCGGTTAGGAAGATAGTGTGAATATGACTTAGCATCTGTCCCCTGTCTGCCAGCCCACACCCAGAGAAGACAGCCACAAACCTCACAGTGCTAGAGGGAAGACCTTCCAGGAACACCCAGCAGTCCCAACAGGGTTGAAGATGTGACAGCAGGGGCCAGGGCCACTGGGGGTAAACTACCATGCATCCCAGACCATTTCACTAGACCAAGAAACAATATATTTTCCTGAGCACTGACTAGAAACCAGCCACTTTGCTGGGATCTTTCAAAGGGTCCCACGCAGCTTCTCAACTGGCTCTCACTGATTCTTGCCTCCTGTGTAACCCCTTCCCCTTAAGTGTGGACTGGACCTAGGGACTCACTTGCAACAAATGGAATTCAGCAAAAGTGATGGGATGTCACTTACTCCCATGAAAAAAAGTTCCCTGAATTTGTGCTCCGCAGACCCCGCTCTGACCGATGGTGGCTTCCTCTCTTTGAACCATCCCTTCTGTGCCCTTGTTGCTACATTCCTCCTAGAAGACGCAGACGCACAGACACACACACACACACCCAAGTTCTCCCGAAGTAGGAGCGAGCTCAGCCTCCTCTTGCCATTGTTCAGCTCCTTCCCAATCAATCTCCTGCCAACCACAAATTAGCATTACACAGGCATTTACAGTGCAGCCCCCAGGGACAGATAGAAGCTGCTAATCCTTCAGAAGGGCCACTGGTACAATAGCACCCGTGGGTGGTGAGCTCCTTTGCAGCACTTCCCGCTCCTTTGCGAGCTGGCCAAGTCAACCTCAGATGGCAAAGTTAGTTAATGGGCCCGGAGCAGACGGGAGACAGGAGGAGCCCAGGGAGCACCAAGCTTCGCAAATGGCTGCATGACCGCATCCCTGAGCCCCTACTCCCAGCAGAAGGCTCTCTTGGGTTGGATTCCCTCTAGGAGCTTCTAGCCTGGTCCTCAGCGCACTCTTCCATTTCCCATCTTTACTGGTTAACCGCGAGGAGTGACCCCCGGTGGGACCAACCTGGGGCATGAAACGCCCTGGGGCCAGGCCAGCGGCCTTACTGAAGTCTGACTGAGCTTTCTGATCCCAAAGGCAGGCAACCCTGGCTGAGCTCCCAGGGGTATTTTTATCCCCAGGCGCTGCCTGTCTTTGGGCCCCAGGGGCCCCCGCGAATGCTGCCCTTCCTGCCACAGTCCCGAGGGCTGGCTCTTGCAGCAGGTACTTCTGCAGTTCCCTGACCTTATCCCGCAGCCCTCTGGAAATGAGGGGGGGCATGCAGAGGAGAAGCGTCTTATCACAAACATTTCCTGCCTGTTCCCTTCGGACCCTGCTGCATACCACAGCCCTTCCCCGGCCAGTGCCGCCACCAGCGGCGACCCCCGCAAGGTCTCCATCAAGGATCTGCAAGGCAGGGGCCCTCCACACCTGTCGCGACTCCAGATTCTTCTCCATCCACACTGCTCCCTTCTCCAGGGAGCTCCCAGATTCTCACAGGCCACCCAAACTGACTCAGTCCCTGAAAAGCATGGAAGGATGTCAGATGGAACCGGAAAGAAAGAGGACAAAAGGCAGGTAAGGGTTTGGAGTTCAAAAAAGAAAATGTGGGGGCTTCCCTGGTGGCGCAGTGGTTGAGAGTCCACCTGCCGATGCAGGGGACACGGGTTCGTGCCCCGGTCCGGGAAGATCCCACATGACGTGGAGCGGCTAGGCCCGTGAGCCATGGCCGCTGAGCCTGCGCGTCCGGAGCCTGTGCTCTGCAACGGGAGAGGCCACAGCAGTGAGAGGCCTGCGTACCGCAAAAAAAAAAGAAAGGAAGAAAATGTGACTCACGGCTGGAGTTCTGCCACCTCCTCTAGGACCCTGCCGTCTATCTCTGACAAACAGAGAAACAGAGAGGCAGGTGAGAGAAAGACCTGCACACCTATGTGTGTCCGCGTGCGCAGCTATGCCACCCGCATCGCTGTGCCCACTGTTTGCCCTCTGCGTGTGGAGCCAAAGCCTTTGGGACTAGTCGGGGTTTGTGTGCCGGGGGGCTGGGAGCTGACAGCCA